ATCATTTTAGAAAATAAACTTGAAATACTGCAGAGTTATACAGAGAAGAGCAACCAGGATGATTAGGGGACTGGAGACTAAAACAATGAAGAATGATTAAAGGAACTGGGCATGGCTAGTCTAGTGAAGAGAAGGACCAGGGGAGACATGATAGCAGTGTTCCAATATTTGAGGGGCTGACACAGAGAGGAGGAAAGGGTCAAGCTATTTTCCAAAGCCAGACCTGAAGGCCAGACAACGAATAATGGAAACTGACCAAGAAGAGATTCAACCTAGAAATAAGGAGAAAATTTCTGACAGTGATAACAATCAACCAATGGAACAGAAGTTGCCTTTGGAAGCTGTGGGAGCTTCATCACTGGAGGCTTTCAAGGGGAGATTGGACTGCCATTTGTTGGAAGTTGGTAGGGTCTCCTGCTTGGGCAGGGGCTTGGACTAGATGACCTATAGGGTCCCTTCCAAATCTGTTAATCTAATTTAATTATACTGCATAATGAAGCAAAAAAAATTCCTGCCTTCTATTCATAATGCAACAGGTAAATAGAACAGGATATATTTGGTTTATTTATTTATTAAACTGGGGGAACACAGAATATTTAGGCCTGAGGGGGAAAAAACTGAAGAGATCTCTCCAGATTCAATCTGTCTCTGTCACCGGACCAGAGGTTTAGTCTTCATGTTGAAGCCCAACCTCAGGGAACATCCTTCTACTGGGATGTATGTGAAACATGTTACGATAGAGAGACATTCCTTGAGGATGGACTTCAGCATGGATCTGAAAGCTCAGAAGACTAAGCCTCTAGTCCTGATGAGTGACAAAGATTGGATCTTGCAACATTATCCTGGGACACAGATATCTGCCTTCATTCACAAAGAGGTGGTGATAGCATTCTGCACGCCCCCTTTATGGACCTCTTAAGAATGAGGTGAGGTCCATGGTAAACAGTTTAAGGTTGAAGCTGTGGGGGTTTGAGGCTGTGACAACTGGGTCAGGTAGAGCACTCCAGGTGTTGACCACTCTGTTGCTGAAGTCGTATTTTCTGCAATCGAGTTTGGAGCGGTTTACTATGAGTTTATATCATTTGTTTGCCCATGTATGATTCAACCATATATGGCTGAAGCTGAAGATGTTGTTGACAGGCAAGATGTTATTAGCAGACAATTTTGTGTACTATGCTTAGATTGAACTGCAGGCGGCACTGTTCCAGATTGTCCAGGCCCAAAATTTCAAGACTGGTGGCATAGGGAATTCTATTGTGAGTAGAGGAGTGGAGTACTCTTCTCGTGAAATACCTCTGAACCCACTCAATGTTGTTAATGTCTGATATACAGTGTGATTTCTAGGCCAACAAGCTGTATGCGAGAATTGGTCTGGCAAAGTTTTTGTATTCCCTAGTTAGCATTTTAGAGAGCAAAAAACAGGTTCATGGGATTGCAGAGTCAAAAAAATCAGAACCAACAAATCAACTTTAGAAACAATTACCCAGAGAGTTGTTGCCATCCTTCTTTTCACTGAATGTAGTTGAGGCTGTAGTCAAACTATCTGTCAGGGAAGCTTTAATTTGGATTATTGTTCTGAGCAGGGATTTGACTCAGTGGCCTGTTCTATTATGTTATTAGGATAGAGGAGTAATTTTATAAGCAAGACAAGTATACTAGATTCCATTACTCTTCATATGCCTGTACGTTGCAAACACACGCAAAGTCCATGAAAGTCTGGTGACCACCCAACAGCAGAATCCTAAACCCCATGCCTGTGCTGCATACCCATTATAACCCAAACCAGTATATACTAATATACTTATTTTATGTAAGTGATTTTTATCATCTTTCATTTATAAAATCTACTACCGTGTTTCCCCGAAAACAAGACAGGGTCTTATTTTCTTTTGACCCCTGAAATAAGCACTTGGCCTTATTTTTAGGGAGGTCTTATTATTTTTGTTGTGCAGGAGGTGGCTGGTATGGTCACCTCATGGCTGCTGCTGTGTTGCAATATTTTCAGAGAAGGCTTATTTTCAGGGGAAGGCTTTTAGCGCATGTTCTCAAAAGCCCGATTGGGCTTATTATCCGGGGGTGTCTTATTTTCAGGGAAACAGGGTATGATGATGATGATGATGATGATGATGATGATGATGATGATGATGATGACCACAACTACAACTGCTATCCCATCCTTCTGTCTATAGGATAGAATGGTCAATCTTCATGCACAACTGTGATAAACAAAATATCAGTACTACAACATTTGATCAGACAAATTGAATCAAACAGATCAAACCAAATTGAATTTGCCTAACGTCTTTATGAGCCACGGTGGCTCAGTGGTTAGAGTGCAGCACTGCAGGCTACTTCTGCTGACTGCCAGCTGACTGTAATTTGGCAGTTCAAATTTCACCAGGCTCAAGGTTAACTCAGCCTTTTATCCTTCCGAGGTGGGTAAAATGAGGACCCAACTTGTTGGGGGTAATAGGCTGATTCTGTAAACTGCTTAGAGAGGGCTGCAAAGCACTATGAAGCAGTATATAAGTCTAAGTACTATTGCTATTGCTAAAACACAAGATGTTTTGTAGGAAAGAAGTTCCAAATAATGCATCTGAAGAATATTATCCTTTGAGTTACTCAATTGCCAACAGTTTCCCCTAAAAGAAGTTGAAAAACTTTCTTGCTCTCTTCAACTTTAAATGCAATTTAATGTCACCTTTATTTTTACTTCANGAATTGATTGCTTTTACTTCTTTTGTATTAATTTCACTCATATTGCTTTCATGCAATTTTTGGGCTCCTATGAATTGACTCTTTACTTGAAGTTATTTTGAGTCTCTTCATCTTGGACCCCTATGCATTCCATTTAGTTTTTCAGTTGTGTGGATGATCAGGGGCTATCAAGAATTATAGTTATAATTTTCCTTCAAACACGTAGGTATGTATGTGTGTGTGTGTGTGTGTGTGTGTGTGTGTGTGTATGTATGTATGTATGTATGTATGTATGTATGTATGTATATCCATATTTTTTGGACAAGAGAGAGGGGGGAGCATCCACAGCACACAATCCCAAAAGATAGTTGAATTATTTTCTTTTCCTCTGCTCAATTTTTTTTTGGGGGGGGGGGTAGGATAGCCGACTTGTTTTTTTAAAAACAAAAACAAAAACAACCCCATGAAACGCACAAACACAAGGCAACAATAACAAGGCTTCTCTAAAATCCCATTTTGGAATCAAGGCAATTGCACAATGCCTGCCTGTTTGTCTGAAAGAACCTGACTACAGATTACCAGAGAGGTGAGTTTCAACTACAGCTTTCAGAAGCTGCTTGTTTGCCTCTCCAAGCTGGCCTTGCAATTGACACAGATCTAATTTTTAATCATTTGCAGACAGAAGCTGGAATCTAGTGGCTTACTAGAGAAAACTGCAGCAAACAATTTAAAAATGAACACAGTCATGCATTTTACCAGGTAATTTAATTTAGCTGACCTCTGATTCAGCTGCCTCTTCAGTTGTTAAACATTAGATGTAGATACGCAATGTAGCTATCAACTGAATTTACACTGAAACTTACATAATGAATCACCGGGGTGCTGAAAATGAACATGAATACTTGTTCTTTGGAAGACTCCTGAAGCTTTCAATAGTCATCAGGGCTGCCCAAAATAAGTGCTTTTCCAGGGAAATACTGCACCAACTCCCCATGCCAATAAAGCAATATTCATTTCAGTTTGTTTTCTTTCTTTCTTTAGTTCAAGCATCAAGGCTTCGAAATAACATGATTTCCTGAGCAAGTTGAACTCCCCCAGACTAATCCTAAAGTCTACATACACGGACAATTTCCCCCTGAAGCTTTGCTTGTTTGAAGAAGGATCATAAACAAGATCAGGGTTTTATTTATTTTTTCCATGCAAGTTGAATTGGTAAAGAAGATGCTATCCTCAGCCTCCCTCATCTCTGACGTGGGTTGCAATTTTATTCTGACAGTGTATCTCCCAAAGCCTATAGGTCACAATGCATTTCAAGGCATACAAAATTACCTTTCTGTGCAACGTTAACTCAGTATATTACGTGTGTCCCATGATGGATCAGTGCAAGCACAAACGTTATGTGCTTGCACTATTCTACCAAGAATCGTAATGGCATCACATATTATCAGAATCAAATGCCTAATGCTCTCCACAAAAGATAGGTCTGTGTAAAGGAATGCAAACTCCTTTGCCACACTACTTTAAATAGCGTTATTATCAATCATCTCACTTTCATATTAAACCAAAAAGGAAATACAACATCTGGGTTAACGGCTGTTTTCCTGATTGTAAGCATAATGCCTATATACACAGAGACATATTATAGATCTATATATCTATAAATATGTTTTCATACACACAACACACACACACACTCACACAAACATTCTGTTCTTAATAAATTGATTTTAGTTGTAGGATATCTCTCAGGGCAAACACACCTTGATGTGATTGTTGACCAGAAGGGGAAGGCAAATGGTCAGATTTCATTCAAACACCCTCCCTGCCCCATGAAAAGCAACCAGGATAGTTGTCCAAGTTAATTATCCATATTCTCAAAAACAGGAGTCCTGGCTGGTCAAAGAACGGGACTGCCTTATTTTGATCACCCTTTTCTTCTCATTGCCTCCCAAAACACGTTCTTAGTCTGAATTCAAAGTGAGAGTATCTCCTTAGCTCGCTTTTCCCGTCATCGCAGGCAGGCTGAAAGTAAATGGGGAGAAGGGAGGAAATCACAGCATCCCAACTGAAGCAGGAGTAGGAGGGAGAGGGGGACAAGAAGGGGCTTCTTACTGCACTTCAGTAAAAGAGACGGTGGGGAAATTTGCAAAAAGCCACGCCACCGGGAGGAACAGGCAGGCGACTTGGTGAGCGGTCTCCCCAAAGAACTTCCCAGGCTGATTATGGAGCGGGGGGGGGGAGGCAGGTAAGCCAAAGCCCACCCAGAAAAACCAACGCTCCCCTTCTCGCTTTCTTCTACCCACCTGTAAGACACCTGTTTCCTGAAGGTTAAACTCTTCAGCTTCTCTTCCAGAGAGTCCTCCTTCTGACCGGTTAGCCCAGGCTCTTCGGGGTCGGCCGCCGTGGCGGGAGCACTGCGAGGGTCCCCGCCGCCTTCGGCCCCACGGCACGTGCTGCCGCCGGGACCGCCGCCTCCTCCTGCAGCCCCCTTCTCCTCCCCGGCTGCTGAAGCAGGGTTCATAGCGGTGCTGAAAGGACAGCGGCGGCGGCGGCGGCAGCAGCAGCAGCAGCAGCCGCCGGCGGAGAGGAAAAAGCGAGGGAAACTACTAGCCCAGGAGGTCGGCTTGAGCCGGGGACAGAGGCAGGGCGGCGGGCGGCTGCTTCCGTCGCAGCCAGAATGGAGCCCCTTCGTCGAGCCGCTGGTCCAAGCGGCTGCAAATGGCAGCACCTTCCCGCAGCATCCATCGGCGGCTGCACTGGCTGCAGCGGGGCATTGTGGGAAACTCCCTGCCTCCCACCNTGTTGCCCCCGTCTCGAATGGTATGACTGTTGTGAGTTTTTAAATTATATATTGTTATCTTGTTGCTTTTAAATCTTTTTGTCTGTATTCCCCTCCCCGGTTCGAGTTGTGCGCCGCCCTGAGTCCCCTTCGGGGGGAAAGGGCAGCATATAAATTTAATAAATTGAATTGAATTGAATGGTCCCAGTTCCGAATCGGTAGCGAAGAAAAAAGGAAACCATTACTGATGTAAACTACTTCTTTCCTTACCATAGTTGAGTAACAAAAGTTTTAAAATGCAATGACTGAACAGGCTTCTCTTTTTCTTTAGGAAAATATTTATTTGCAAGAAAATAGATAAAGCATTACATAGTTACATACAAAAAGCATTTAGTTTGCAGTTTCATTTTAGACTTGTGTGCTTAATAAAAGTATTTTTTTTACACAAAATGTGTTTGCCACTCCCAAGTACATGAGGACATATTTAGAAGTGCACATATATATGGTATATTGAAATAAAAATGGTACAGAACATATTAAACCAATGCCACTGTTGCTTAAGGTATTGACTTTTTAAAAAAATTACTTTATGCTTTTTGTTAAATAATTGCAGTATTTAATCAGTCAGTTCCATTTAAACATGGGTAAAACATATTTGCATATTCACATAGCAGAAATAACATATTTTCTTGGGACAGAAAACTGTCAATACGGATGGCCCAATTTAACAAGTTTTGGGCTTACATGAAACAAATTACAGATATAATTATTATTAAACAAATACTTATAGCACTTTTTTTTGCTTGACACTAATCCTCAAGCTGATTTATAATAATAAGTGAAAACTTAACTTATAATAAGATTCTCTAAAAGGCAGTAATAATTTATGGACATTCCAGGGAACTTTGATGTATGTAGCCCCTGACTGGGATACAGAAAGACATCATGTGAGTCTAATTCTGCTGATTTTAATAGGATTATGTGTTGCAATGTATAAAATCATAATCTATATTTCAAGGATAAGAAAAGGTTTAGCCTGAATGTCAGTATCTTTATGAATGAAATAAATAAATTTATTTATAAATTTATAAATAAATTTATTTAGAAAGAAAGAAAGAAAGAAAGACATTGTCCCATTGACAACATACACAACAGAGACTCATTTTAAGTGATGTATAATTAGAGCCACACTTCACAAAATAGACAGGACCAAGAATCAGAATGATTTAAATTTTATACAACATTTAGCCTTGAAACAAGCAAATCAAGGTGGATATGCTTACCCAGCTTTGAGCTCAACACCTGAGAAAAGATGCTAAAATGGGTCCGAAGATCCTTTAATTTTTGCACAGAAAATTAAGGAGAATTAAATTGCACTTTCATTTCAACCAGCCTGTAAACTATATATATATATGCCCCATTCATTGCAAAGTTGATATTGTATATTTATTCATTTAATTTTATCCTAGTTTATTAGGCACAACTCAAGGTGGCAGGTATAATATAGCACATATATCTCCTATTTTTCCTGGTGGGTTGAGAGACAGAACAAATGGCCCAAAGTCATCCAGCCAGCTTTCATGCCTAAGGGTGAACTCATAATCTCCCAGTTTCTAATCCAGCATCTCAAACACTTTAACCAAACTGATTCTAGCTTATATTTTAGTATATGCATTTGTATTACTTTCTTGTATTTATTGTATTCCAACGGAATCAGTGTGGTGTGTTTTGCATTACTTAACAGTGGCAGGATAATTGTCTTATTATCACTTCCTGCTATTGTCAAGGCCCAAGCAGAGCCCATTCTACAAACATTTAAGCATCTATTACCATACAGCCATTGACTTCCATATATCATCTATCATATGTATCTTCCATATGTCATCTCATTCCCTCTCATTCACTATGCATCCTCACCATTTTGTTCACATTTAAATTGTATCAAGGTGTTGTTTGGAGACTTCATAAAGGCTTAAGTTAAATTTAGCTAATGTGCATTTATTTATAAATAAATACTGTTCTTAGACAGTTCTTCCCGATTCTTTTTCGAAGGAAAAAAATCAGACTATGTTCTTTGGAACAAAAAGATGCTACCTTTTTCACCGTCCTCGACTTACGAGCACAATTGAGCCCAAAATTTCTGTTGTTTAAGTGAGATATGAAGTGAAGTTTAGCCCATTTTGCAACAATTTCTTGCCACAATTCTTAAGTGAATCACTGTAATTGTTACATCAGTAACACAGTTGCTAAGTGAATCTGGCTTTTTCCACTGACTTGGCTTGTCAGAAGGTTGCAAAAAATGATCACACGCCCACAGGACACTGCAATCATCATAAATATGAGTCAGATGGCAAGGGTCCAAAATTTTGATCACATGACCATGGGGATGCTGCAACGGTTGTGAAAAACAGTTAAGTCCCTTTCTTTAATGCCATTATAGCTTCGAATGGCCACTAAATGAACTGTTATAAGTCGAGGACTACCTGTACTTTAAAGAGGATGGAATTGGGGAAAGAGATTTGAATAATATGTACCAGAAGAGGACCCTGCACCCTGCACAGCCTAATTCTGCCTTTCAAATGAGCCGCAACCACTCAAAACTCCAAGCAGTGTTCTGAAGTCTGCAAATACCTCAACTTGTTATTTGTGATTTTAAAATATGCAAAACTAAAACAAAAAGGAAAGGACAGATTAGTCCACTGGGTATTGATGACACAAGAATGTTTATCTTGCAACAAGTATGTTTATGAATAAGGGAAGGTTCCCTAATAACATGTTACAAAATTTTCAACATAAACCAGCATCTTTCATCTTTCAGGTTTTTTTTTTAATTGCATCTTCTTAGGCAATTTAAACATATATAAAGCTGGCTGATAAATTCTGTCTTTCTTGCCAGAGGTCATATTCTTTATGGGAGGGGGGAAATGTTCTACTACTTGAGAACCAACACCTCTGGGCTCTGAGATGTGGAATTCAGATTTACAAGGCTAAGGTACAAGCTATTGAGTGAGGGACACAGACTAATAAATCAACATGACCAGCTGGGCTACACGGTGTTGGAGTACACCTTCAAAATAACAATATAAAAAAGCAGTTTTATTTCAATTAGCAATTACAGAAGAATTATTTTTGTCACAAAGTGAGAGAGAAGATGCTAAAGATAATTTTCATACTGGGAGGAGGGCAATTAATATTAGTCATTCATTTTATTGACCGCCAAACTATGAATAAATAGCACTCACTCCTCAAAATTGAAGGTGGGGGGGGGTTCTTATTCTCATTTATGTCTTGAAAGACATTTCAAATTTGACATTCAACCCAGATTCATAAATCATGAACTGAATGTTTCTAGGGTTAAAAGAAAAAGGTGAAGCAAATTGTCAGATTCTTATAGAATGGGAAAGCTACCAATTTGCATCGGTCATCCAATACAGAAATATTAACTAGTTAAAATACTTTACTTTGCATAATAATAAAATACAGTGAATACAATCAAAGCATATACATAGCAAAAGAAATACACCGTCTACCTACTACTCAATTATTAAGAGCATCACAAGCCCATAATTGATTTCCATAAATAGACAGTTTAAAATAACGTTCTCTTATTTTAGAGCCCACCCACTAGCTATACAAAATCTATTAAGCTAGACATCTGGAATCAATGATCACATAATGAATAATACAGTTCCTTAAAATAAACATTGTTACCCAAGTTTGATATCTGAAAATCCCCCACTACAAAGTGACTTGGAGAAATTATTATTTTTAACTCTAAGCAAATAAGTAATTGTTTGATGAAGGGTCCCATGTAACTGTATTTTATAGAGGAGGTGCTGTTTTAACATATTGATACTAATAATTCCTTCCCAAAAGTTCTGATCATTTCAGATTATAGAAATTGAGATGGCTGAGACTGGAATTTTTGCTGGTTTCACAGCCAAAAGCTTATTTAAAAACAAGTACAACAGAGGGGACAAAATAACACATTAGGAAATAGGGGGGGAAATCTTGTTTAGATTAAACTTTTAAAGGTTTAATGCCTGGAGTTTAAAATAAGTTTTAGAAGCTTTTCAAAGTCCACTAAGATCATTTGAAAGAATTTATAACCTTGACTTGTCATTCCAGCTTGGATCATAAGAAAAAAAAAACCCTAATAAATACTATTTACAACAGAAAGATACAGGAGAGTATAAGATATCAGGGAATATAAGCGACCAGATTCTCATATCCGCATGAGAATCTGGTATACATTCTCTACAACTAGGCTTAATGGATATTTCTGGGGAGTTGTAGTTACAACACAGCAAGAAATCATCAGATTGGGAAAAATTAAACCAATGTACTGAAAGATGACGCAAAGCTTTTTCAGTTTTTAGAGATGTCATCATGGCAGAAAAGGAATTATGAAGCCTCTGAGTCTAGCAAAACCAAAGTGTTTTGCCAGAACTAACTATTCTTGTCCACTGAGGTTCAACAAAGAACATCTCTACAGTCCAATTCTTCTAGAGCAGATAGGAAAAAAGTTGGTTATGCTTCTGTTTCACCATAATTATGGACGCTCCAGAGGAGATTTTCATTGAAGGCAACACCTTACCCATCGGTCGCTCATCAAAATAGTATCAACATAGTTCTTCCCACTATGAATATTATGGTAGAAATAAGGCATGACACTATTTAAAAAAACAGAGCAAGAAAATAATTCAAAAGGTCTGCATTTATCATATTTCCACATCAATACC